GGAAGCAAGCCCAGGGCCTTATGAATGCAGGCAAGTACTCTACCATTGGGCTACAGCCTCAGCTCAAGTATACAAACTTTTTGGTTTTCGTTTTTTAACTCAAGGGCAATTCACCACTGAGCTACATCCCCAGCTCTTTCTATTTTTTATGAGACAAGGTCTTGCTAAGTTGTTGGGGCTGGTTTTGAACTTGCAATCCTCCTGCCTTAGTCTACCGAGTTGCTAGATTACAGGTGTGCACCACTGAGCCAGCCAACTGTACAAGCTTTTAAGTGGACATATTTTCCTATCTCTTGAGCATAACTGCTGGGTCACATGGCACACCATACTTAACCATTGGGGGTTAACAATGTGTTTTCCACAGTAGCTGCACCATGCCTCCCACCCATCAGCAGGGTATGAGGCTTCCAATTTCTCCACATTCTTACCAACATTTGTTTCCCGTCTTCATTCACAACTATAACAGTTGTCAAGTGGTATCTCACTGTGGTTTTGACTGGCATTTTCCAAAGAGTTGATGATGCTGAACATCTTTTCATGTGCCTATTGGCTATTTGTGTGTCTTCTTTGGAGAAATATTCTTTTGTATCTTTTTTCCCATCCTTAAATTGGGTTTTTGTTGTCTTTTTTTATGACTGAATTGTAAAAAACACAGTACCTTATCAGATATATGGTTTGCAAATATTTTCTCTCATTCTGTAAACTGTCCTTTCTCTTTATTGACAGTGCCCTTTCAAGAACAAAGTTTTCTCTTCTTTTTCTTTTTTTGCACCAAGAATTGAACTCGGATGCTTAACCATGGAGCCACATCTCCAGCCCTTTCTTCCTGAGAGAGAGTCTCATGGAGTCGATTTGTAGATGGCTTTGAGTGCTGCCATTTTTCCAGGGGTAAGTCCTCCACTTCTTGAATATGACGCAGCTGTTTCTTTAGGTCTTAATTTCTTTCAATGTTTTTAAGTTTTCAGAATGTAAATTGGGCATTTGTTAAATTTATTCCTATTTTATTATTTTTGATGTAAATTAAAGTGTTCACTTTATTTGCAGATTGTTCATTGCAAGTATAAAGAAATACAGTCGATTTTGGTTTACTGACCTTGTATTCTGCAACTCTGAGGAGCTCATTTATGATTCTAATTAGTTTTTGTTGTTGTTGTTGCAGTCCTGGGGATTGTACCCAGGGGTGCTCTACCACTGAGCTACATCGCTGACCTTTTTATGTTTTGAGACAGTGTCTCACTAATTTCCCAAGCTAGCCTTGAATTTGCGATCCTCCTGCCTCAGCCTCCCAACTAGCTGGGATTATAAGTGTGTGCCAAGGTGCCCAGATGATTCCAATATTTTAAGTGGATTCCTTCTATACACGAGATCATGTCATTTGCAGATACAGTTTTATCCCCTTCTCCAATCTGGATGCCTTGTCTTTCATTTTCTTGCCATTTGTCCCAGTTACACCCTCCAGCCCAGTATCCAATGGGAGTGTGGAAAACAAACCTCCTTTTCTTAYTCCCTGACTTTAGGGCAAAACATTTGGTCATTTGCCATTAAAAAGATGGAACCTGGGGCTGGGGCTGTAGCTCAGGGGCAGCGCACTTGCCTACTAAGTGTGAGGCCCTGGGTTCAATCCTCAGCACCACATAAAAGTAAATAAATAAAACAATTTTTTTWAAAAAAGATGAAAGCTGGGATTTTTCATAAATGTCCTCTATCAGGTTGAAATGGTTCCCTTCTATTCCTAGTTTGCTTTATATTTTTATCATGACAAGTATTGAATTCTATCAAATGTTTTCTTCAAATTTATTAAGATGATCTTGATCTGTGATGTTTGTCATTTATTCTCTTTGTTTGTATGTGGTGCTGAGGATCGAACCCGGGCC